ACAATGACCACATAAGAGGAACTTTCAAGCTTCTTTTGGGGGTTGTTGGTGTAACTCAGCAGGTTAAGCAGCCCGTGTGTAGAGGTTTAATCCTTAAATCCAAACCTGCCCAATAGCTTCATGTCAATTATGATTTTAGCTTCCAAGATAATCAAGATTGAATGATTTCTATGCTGCTTAGCATGTTGTGCTCTTAGTTATTATTAATCATCAGGAGTAGGGCTCGACCGATTTATCTGTAATCTATATTGGTGAAAATCGGCCAAAACTTGCCAATTTTCACAGATATTTTTAGAAATAAAATGCGGGGAATAAGATTTGGTTTCACTTCAAAAATGTTCCGCCATTTGAAAAAAGATCCCCCTGACTGGAGTGGTCCGCCTCAACGGTAAATAAACCAGTTTGTGAAATACACAATAAGTCAACAAGTTTCAGTTCAACCCACTTCACGATGTTCCCCGCTGTGCTGGTCTCGGTCACGCCGAGGTAACGGTGAAGCACCATGTAATATGCAAGCTAAAGTTAGAGTTAGCCATCTGCTATTAGCCTTGCTACACTGTTAGCCATGCCAGTAACAGTGGAATAAACAACAGTACACATTAGTGATCGAGCTACTTCTCTTACTGAGGCAGCTGCATGTCTCCAGATGAGACCGGACCGGAAATGAGTTACGTGAGTTAAGACGCAGAGGCACCGACCGGCGGCGGCAGCGGGATTACGGTTGTCAAAACGCTTTTCTGGTTCGAGTTTGATCAGTCGATCTTCCTGACGGCGTGAAGAGCAGTAGCCTACAGTATATCTACAGTATATAGTATACTGCAGATACTACAAATCTACTGTTTGTAAATATTTTTTATAACTAAAAAATTTTAAAAATCGGCCGATTAATCTGTAATTGGACCCCCCCCCCCCAATAATAGGTATTGGCATCGGCCCCTTCATATCAGTTGGGCCCTAATCAGGAGTTCTGATCAGTTTGACAAATTGCAGGCAGTTTAGTGGCAAAATGTAGTGTAACATGACTGTGTACTGGATCAGGTGTGTGTGTTAGTAAAGCAGAGGGACAGATTGAGCATGAGGAGAGAGCGGATTAATTTAGCAGGCTTAAAAAAGGCGAGTTGTAAAGGATGATAGACAGGCAGAGATTAGCGAACAAAAAAGGGTTAAACTAATTTAGTAAATATTTTTTCACTTCCTAATTTTTATTTTGTTTTTTAAAGTTCTGACAATGTTTAGAGTCAAAGGTACACCTACTTTCAATAGATACACAACACATGTGATGCAAATATTGTTGTCAATGATTAACCGTGTTTAACAATCTTGAACTCACTACCATTAAAAACAATCCTTGCTTTAATTTTGACAATAATTGAGCAGCCCTCGTCGACCCTGCTTTCCACTCCTCTAATTCTCCGTCCCTCTTCAGCTGCCCTATCAATAACTATCTAAAAGCCGTGGACACATCAGGACACCTGCTGTCTCCTCTGTGGCACATTCAAGTGTTTTCTGTGAAAAATGCCTCTCGGTGTACGATAACTGAGCGGACCCGACAGTCAAAAACTCCTGGATAAGCAAGTACAGGGTCTTTGAGTCAAGCGTTGGGCTGTGGGAGTCGTGAGATTGCAAGCGGAGAGCAGGTTACGCGCTGAATACAGAGACAATATCAAAGCAATCAATAGGTTGAAACAATGGTGGTGTTTGTAAAATGTGGGCTTTTTGATATGATGAGGAAATAATCGAGTATTTTGATCATTCTCGGGTCAATCTCTCAACAAACTGTCCCTTTTTAGTACTATTCAAATTTTCTTTTATCGGTAAAACTAATTAGCTTCAGAATTCAGATTTTGCTCTTTATGTCAGGTCAATCTAAATGATAATCAGCACATACGTCAATTAAGAAAGGAAATATGCATCTGATGAAGCCTCCCTGCTCTCAGTATCCAGCTTCAACTTTCAGCTCAACCATAATTCTGACCAAATGCATTATCCTCACATTGAATCAAAATCTAAATCACGCTGAATGACTCTCCAAAATAGCATTGCCACAAAATAACAAGATGAAATGTTTGTACAGCACAGGAACACTTAATCACAATGACACTAACAACGCCAAAGGCCACTCAGTCTGCACTGGACAACTTAGTTAGAGCACAAAGCGAGATAGTTCCAGTCCACTTGCTGCTATAGCCTCCACAGCAGTCGCCCTAAAGAGATACTGTGTCATTTATGAGAGAGATGTCAGATTGGATTACAGTCTAGGTACAGAGCTTCTGTGGAAACGCCTGGTTAGGTTAAGCGTCATGATGAAGAAACCCCCTCCTCCTCCTCTTCTTCTTTTTCCTTCTTCTCCCTTTAATTCCCTCTGTGTAACCCTGCCTTTGCTCTTAGTGTGCAGCTATTGTCAGCCTATGAGATAAGAGATACTGTAACCCATACACCCTGTATCCTTTGCTTAAAATTGAGGGGGGGGGGAAATGGTGCCAGCAATTTCAGAAAGTTGTGGCACAAAGTGGATTTGAAAAGCTCCAAATTGAGCTCAAATGCAGGGTGGAATATCCCTCCAGGCAGTCTGAATGCTGGGATGGTTCATTTACTGTAGAAGAGCAGTGCAGGGAGGCTGAGTGGAGAGGCTAGTATGGCGGGTGTAAAGATGCTGCTAGTTTGAGGAAATGTGCATGATAACAAAAGAGGGGTAGGGGGCAGTGCATGCGATAACATGAGATATAATAATCCCTGTTTAAACAAGAGAAAAGAGGCTGCAGGAGGAATATTCAGAGGCTGGGTGGAAACAAAGGAGGGCATGCATGCGATGTTGAATGAAACAATGCGTCCCAGAAAGCAGACAGAGCACCTACCTTGATGTTGTCAAGCGACCACTTCTATCTGTGCATCTTCTTCTTCAACTGGAGCACCACTGATCATCATCACAGCCACATAAGCACAGGAAAAAGGCTCAAATCGAAATGTTGTACACTAAGTACCAAGCGAAATCTTGGAGGAAATTTGTAGGAAAAGAAAGGGGGGGAAAGTGCATTAATAAAACAGTGAAAGCTAGAGGCTCAGCCCAGCTCGCTCTGCTAAGGGATAACTCTGTTCTTTTCGGGCTATTTTGTGTGCTCTTCATCAGGAAAAACGCCTCATGTTTTCAAGCTGAGCGGTAGCCGAGCGGCTAACGTAGCCCGTAACGATATTCGAGCGAAAATCCGCCGGATACAGAGCTGCTATCCTCATGATTTTCCGTCATCCCGTTGTGTTTTGGTGAGGATGATAAGAAGGCAAAGAAAAAGGATGCTCTCAGGCTGTGGCAGCGAGCAGGTCCCTTTCACTCCTGCTGCCTACGGAAGCCCGGATGGTCCAGAAACGCGCTTCTTTTGTTTTGGCTCATCTGATAAAAAGCGAGAGTGGTAACGAGATAACCTACTTTTGTCAGGAATCAACATCACAATGATATTATAAAGGAGTTAATACAGCCTCAACTCATCAGAAAATAAATGTGTCTTATTTTTTTTAAATACAAAAATAGAACATTATAAAACAAGCTTCAGGCTTGAATCAACAAAACAATAGTGGGTTTTTTTCTTTTCTTTTTTTTTTTCTTATCCAAACATAGAACTTTATGTAAAAAGTTTCAGGCTTGAATTAACAAAAACAATAGTTTTTTTTTTTTTTTCTTATCCAAACATGGAACTTTATGAAACAAGTTTCAGGCTTGAACCAACAGAAACAATATGGGGTTTTGTTAGTTAGTTTGTTTGTTTATTTGTTTTTTTTGTTTGTTTGTTTGTTTTTTTTAATCCAAACATAAAACATTATAAAACAAGTTTCAGGAATCAACAGAAACAATTGTTTTTTATTTAATTTATTTTTTTTTTTTATCCAAACAAAGAACATTATAAATAAAGTTTCAGGCTTTATTCAACAGAAACAATACCTTTTTTTATTTATTTTTTTATTTAGTTATATACATATATTTTTTTAATCCAAACATAGAACATTATAAAACAAGTTTCAGGCTTGAATCAACAGAAACGATACGTTGTTTTGTTTTGTTTTACAACAAACTACGCAAGTTTTTTTTCTTTGTATTGTAAAGTGTTACCATATTTTTAGGATTTGTGTAATTATCCCCTTTTCCAAATTTTTTTTCACTAATTTGTCATGTTTTCTTTTATTAATCATATCAAGGACCCAGAAGCGTTGAACTTTATTTTGACAAAATATTAAAACATTTAATACTTACTTGACCAAATTCGACCACTATATCTCAATACATCGAGAGACTAATCCTACCTTGTTTTATATACCATATTATAGACATCCATTTTCCCATGCTGGACAAAAACATTGTAATTATTCTATGGAAAAATCAATCAATCAAAGTTTATTTATATAGCACTATTTATACAAATGAAATTGCAGCTCAAAGTGCTTTACATCCGGACAAGAAAATAAAAGTTATTAAAATAGACTAAAACAGACAGTAAAATATAAACATGAATTTATCAATAAAATAAAGTAAAAAGTGATACTAAAAAATAAATAAATTATAAAAGTAATTCAAATAATGAAGCTTTACATAGAAGCCAGGCTAAATAGATGAGTTTTTAGGTTACATTTAAAGATTTCTATATTTGCAGCTTGTCTCAGACTCTGGAAGTTTGTCCCACAGTTTTGGAACAAAGCAGCTAAAAGGAGCATCACCAAATCTTTTTGTTCTTCTCTGTGGAACGATTAAAAGAGAAGATTGAGAGGATCTGAGAGGCCATCCTGGTTCATAAAAAATAAAAAAAATTAAATAAAAAATAATGATTACAAAATAAATTAAAATGAAATAATCTTCCTATTTTCCACTGAGCTTTGCATCATTTTTTCCATATTTTCTTAAATACGTTTGTTTCAGCTCCACCTCCACCACAGATGTGGTTTTGTGCGCCCTCTAGTGGAAGAAAATGAATAAGATCAGAAGGAAATAAACACAACATTGGAAATAAGAAACAAACTCAAGCCTTTGATTGGACAGTTTTAATTCTCAAGGACACCAATGAATCCAGAAGTGAGGGTCTGTTTTCTGTACTTATTATATACATTGTCAAAAACAATGAGATACTTTCTGTTCACCATCACATCAACATAATGCACACACGGTACCAACTACAGTCACTGAAAGCCTGGGGTTTGAAGCACAGCCTGATGTACCAAAGGAGTCTTTGCAGGGACGTCAGAACACCATCGCTAAGATGCTGCGACACCTTTGGGACGCCAGGTGTGAATCTATGTGAGACAATCCAGTTTCCCCCATGTTAAGATTCAATATTTACACTCATTCACAACTCCACAACAAGAGGGTCAGAGGAAAAAATCACAGGACAGACATTTCACAATTCGCCGTGGTCTGTCAGACTAACTTTCGGAATGACGCATCAAATGAAAACTTAGTTCTTCTTCAAAAGCCTGAAAATTTCTCATCAGCTGGACTTACTGGAGAGCTTAAACAGCTGACGTGCTGTACCACTGAAAGCTGATGAAAGATCATGCTAACCACGTTGAAACAAATTCAAGATGGCTTTTGTATCATGAAGTGGAGGTCATTCCAAGTAAACACACATTAAGCATCTATGTGGGAATGTCAAAGAAAAACACACACAATACATTCAAACAAGGACATTTCAATCAAAATAAAGAAACATTAAGATCTGCAGAGTGGGATTTGTGTTGATTTCAGTGTAGACAAGCTGTGATAAGGTCCATCATTTTGATCTTCAACTTCATGGTTACCTGGGAAAACTTCAAATGTGAGCTAGATGAAGCAAAAGTTGTTATGATACCAACATTAAATGGATATTTAACTTGCCCCTTCTGCCTTTGATAAAGAAATTATGCTGAAAGGTCACTTACAGACATAAAACAGCATGTTTATAAAATCCTTCTTATTACACACGCAACAAAAGGTGTTTTCACTTTCGTTTCGCTTCCTAATGAACAGCCGATGTTTTTGTGTATTTAACAAAGAGGATGGAGGGGTGGAGTAGCTGTGAAGCAGTGGCAGATTCTGTCACTTTGACAGCAGGAGGCCTGATGAACAGTGGGTTTGGGCTGCTGTGCGTGCGTGTATTAAGGACCACTTGCTTTTCCGTGAAAAACAAACCAAAAAGGACAGACCAGGCTACGGTAATAAACACAATGGTAAACACCCTCATGCACCACAGAGAAAAGAGATCAGCATACACACACACGCGCACACATACACTCACAAATATTCAAATAGTCTAGTGGGGTTTTTAACTTCAATCATTCGTCCAAGAGTGGGCAGCTATAACAACGTCAGGAAACTTCTGTTCTATCCTGAAAATGGAAAGCTGAGTTGTTGACGAGGTGAATTAATGCACAAAAAAACACTGGCATCTGCTGATTTGTTCCCAGTTTTCCCATTCAACATTAATGCTCCTCCAAAGACAAGACTGCAGTGTGTGAATGTACCACTCTTGCATGAATGATAGCTAAAAACAATCCCGGGCAAATAGAGACATTTAAATAATTTACGATGTATTTACACAATAATCCATCTTATTTTTCCAGCAGGGTCTTTTCTTCTTCTCTGAGTGGATGCTTCTTCTAGTCGCCCATCTTTACTTTTGACGTCTGGAGGAGGAAGAAAAACAAGTTAACAACCAAATATTAGAATGACAAACTAGTGAGGCCATTTCTCTCTTACTCACCTGCAGAATGGCTACGATGACTCCAAACAGGCCGATCGCACTGCCGAAGATCTCCACTATGAGGATCTTCACGAAGAGGCTGGCATTCTGAGCGTCGGCCAGAGCTGCCCCGCTGCCCACGATGCCGACGCAGATGCCGCAGAAGAGGTTGGAGAAGCCCACGGTCAGACCAGCTCCAAACATGGAGTAACCTAGTCAAGACAGAAATCCAGTGAGTCAGAGCTCCACCGTGACTGATCCACAGAGGAACAGGACCGGAAAAATCAAACTTTCAGTCACAGTGGAAACCTGTCAGTGTTGATGAATCTTTACATACTGTTATCTTTGACCTCTCTGCCTTAAAATTTGAATCAAGTGCATGAGCATGATTCTAACTGGAAGCTTCGTCCGCAGTAAAATCACGAGTATTAAAATGAGAAATAAAATCCTAGGATGAAATGAAATTTGTGAGACATAATGGAAAAGTCCTGATACTGTGTAAGGTTTAAATTAATGAGCTTTTCAAAAAGGATTTCTTTCCTTTTGGTTCAAAAGTTTCATTTGCTTCTTACCAGCTTGGTAGTTCTTTGCGCCGATGGTCTCAGGGGTCGTTCCAGTGAATCTCTACGAAATGAAAAAGACTATTTTAAGAGCCGAATAACCAACTTTAGCCTGTAGTTGGAATCATAATCAACTCTTTCTGTCTTATTAGTAATCAGCTTTCATCTACAGTCATGCTGTTCTGACAAACAGATAATATGCCCACTGCTTACCTCAGCCATGTTGCTGATTACGATGGCCATGATGATCCCATAAATCGCTACAGCTTCACAGAAGATGATGCTGAAACATAAGAAGCAAATAAAACTTTAAAAAAGGAGCAGGTTGTTTTAATGTAACTAACATTCTTAATGGTTCTTGAATGAAAATGTAATCTCCAGGCTACACTGGCAGTTATTTCAGCAAACATTCCCTACCTGACCAAATTCTTGGTTTTGATCCGTGGAGCTTTGACACCGCCACCGATGATGCTTGAGCCTGTGATGTAGATCCCCCTGAAAAATACACAAACAACCATCAACATCTAAAAGCATGGTACAGAAAAATGTAGTTTGTAACAGGAAGGGATAAAATGGAGGTTTTTCCAACAAGCTGTCAAAACTGTTGGTTGCAAATGTTTATCTGTATCCTAAAGCATCACATCCTAATCCTTATCATATGTATGTAATCTGTTTATCATTTTACATCAATAACTTTAAGTGTTTTAGCATTTATCTCTTTCTAGTTTTCATCACAGGATCGTCTTTTATTGGACTATTTTGGTGCTCTTATTTTAGTATCTTTTACTGTTGTTTTTTATTTCTTACATTTCATTCTATGTTACTTTGTTTTTAGATTTTAACCTAAACCTCCAGTGTTTCCTTATCTTGAGTTTTAAAATGGCGTTTTTCCTCATTGCACACATTCCTGTCCTGTTAATACTGTTTCTGCCGCGTTTACATCGTGGGGTGGGAATGAGGGGTTGGGCTGGGGTAGATCTCGGTATTCTTTGTTTCTTTTATTCCTTTTTCTGTGTAAAGCACCTTGTGCTACATGGTCATGTATGAAAGTGCTATATAAATAAACACTGATTGATAATCTGGAAAGTTTTTACAGTGTGTTGCTAAATCAAAAAGTTTTCAGTTCCACATTCATAAACGGTGTAAAACTTGTTTCCTAAAAGGAGGAGGAAGTTGGCCTACAAAACTTTCACTTTTTATACCATCTGGTACTTTCATCCTGGGGTAACAAATTCACAGTATGGACTCACCATGCAGCTCCCACCACAGACAGAGAGATGGCCAAGCCGATGCCCAGACAGGCCCACATGAAAGGAGAAGTCTCTGTCAGGAACCTGCAGAAGAGGAGGTACAGCTGATGAATGATGCACCACCATCCATCTGAGTAAAACCCTGATGGATTATTCAGTTGATCTGCTGTGTCTGCAGTTGATACATCAAACTCAAAATAAGTTACAGTTTGCAGAGCAGCAGGTTAACTTAAAAACAAATAACCTGACATTTTGTGTTTGTCATAAATAGCTTTAAACATCTGTAATACTTTCATTAAAATGTTTAAGAGCTGCATGAGGCAAAACTGGTGTAACACATAAATAACAGAGTCACAGCAGGATCCCTGAGGACTGGTTTGAAACACACATTTGTTAAAGACCCATGAGATAGAAGATAATATGCATCTTTAATCAAATGTATTCTGGCAAGTCAAACATAGAGTGAGCTGAATCACACCCTCTTCTTTCACTGTTGACTGCAGCACCATGATTAAATCACCTTGAAGGCCAGTCGACTCTAAATATATTCAGTTCTGGTCTTTTCTTTTTTTACTTTCTGGCTCAAGGTTCAGTCTCTGAAGGCAAAATTACTCTTCCATCGTCTTGTTTACTTCCATGAAATAATAACATTTGACTTTGAAGACTCACAAATAAGCAAAGAGAAAGGAAGGCCTTTATGCAGCTATTTCACATCAATGCTTTATAACTCTGGCTTCATTGTGGGAATTATTAGAGGTGCTCTTTGCAGGGCATTGCAGCAATCTCTTCACGATTGCGCAACCTAGTAAGAGTTTTAGTTTGGATACAGTTACAAAGTTTGAAAAACCCAAACTTTCAACATCCAAGTGTATTTTGCAGAAAGCTCACAGCAGCTAACCAACAAAGTATAAGGCCATCACTTATTAATATTTACATTATAGATGTGATCTAACAGTTATAGTCCTCCTCAATTAATCAAATGTCAATCAAATGCCAATAACCAGTTAACTGTCTGACAGAGACTTGCTTACCATGCCACGTCAAAGCGGAAGCCCAGGTCAAATATAGTGTAGCAGATACCTGTGGACAGAAAGACATTTAAATCAGATGTAAAAGTGGAAGAGGGTCTGTGTTTAACTGATAAATCTGGGGTCTGTGACAGAATCAACTGTGTAATTGTAGATAATGACAGTGTGCAACTACATTTCTAATCTTTTCCTGTGAACCATGTGAGAAACAGTGTCACATTTGAGTGCCAGAGTCATGGAGGGGAATTTCTAACAGTAGTGCGATCGCTCACCCCCACGTGAACACTGCCGCAGTTCCTCTTTGGGCTCATGGTTGGGTATACTTGAATTGGCATTGGCATGAATACACATACTTGCATTTCTACTTGTACACGAGTGCAAGTAATAAAATATTCCACTCAAATGACTTCCTGAGCTGATTGTTAAAGTGTAAAACACAAGAAGGAAGAGAAGAGGGATTTTGAAGACATCCAGGTTGGAGTAATGGGATACCTTTATAGGGGTGTTTACCATAATGGCAGTCACTAGTCACTAGCTTTAAAAGTAAGTTGTCTGACTCTACAGATACAAACATGTATGCTGATGCATAGGGCTGGGATGATGTGCTTTTCTCCCGATTCGATTCTTCTATGATTACTTGGATGCCAATTCGATTGAAATTGTGATTCTACGATATTATCGATTTTTCTTGATATTCAGTCTGCATTTTTAACACCAGTGAAACAGTTGAATGATTATGATTATCTACTGACTATTACAGGAACAATATTTCCCCAAAAATACACATCACATGTAAGTCAGTTTTTAAGAATAATTCTTAAATTAGAAAAAAAAAATCGGTTTTTGAACAAAAAAATCGCGATACTCACGTGAATCGATTTTTTCTCCCACCCCTACTGATATATAAGGTTCTGTATTAAATATCCCCATGTAATGTCAGCTAACAGGCTCCAACAATACATTTCAACATGCTGGCTGAAATCTACAGGATACATTTACCCTTTATGATTAATCATATTGTTTATATCCATGTCCAATATCATGCATACCTACTTTTTTTTGCACTTTGGTTTTGTTGTGCACTTTTTGACAGTCCTTTTGCACCAAAACGCAGCCTGCAGTTCATAGAGTTTGCACCAACACTGATGACAATTGAGGTTCTGGCTCGCTGTCTTACGAACTATGAGTGAGAAGATTAGCTGTTTTTGCAAAGGCAGTGTTTCCCTGATGAGTTTTATACTCGGGAAGGGCGAATATGCAAGTGTATTTCTGACTCTTGGTGTAAATTGGGCAGGCGCATCCATGTTCTCCTTCTCTGTGTTAATTCACCTTAAAATACCGAGTAAATAACAGCTTACGGATTTGTCATAGCTATCAAAATACCTGCGCAAATGACTGAAAACAAAGCAGTGAGACGTTTTAAGCATTGGTCGTTTTCAGCTACAGGCGCTAAGCTTAACGCAGCTCGACATTAGCTTGACGTGAGCTTTGGTATTAGCCTAGGAAATGCTAACCTGGGTACCAGATATAATATAACATATCTATATAATATTTTAATAGTGCTAAAGGCAACGTAAGCTCGTTTTATAGCATTAATAACGAGTATGCTTGAATTATCGCGTCAACTATTTCTACATCTTCTGTTAGCAGCTAGCAAACAGAAATGGAAACGGCCCCTTTAGCTCCTTTAGCCGGCTAGCTGTCAAATTTAAACAAACACTGGGCAAGAGGCTGCATTTACAGCGTTAATAAACTCAGATGTATGACTGATTTTATTCAGAATGTACAATATCGTGATGGTTTTCGAGGACACTCCAATCTTACCGACGATGAGGATGGTGCTCCAGAAGGCCAAAGTGACCCCCGTATACAGGATAGCGTGTCCGTTCATCATACACTCCAACAACATCTACCCGGTGGACTAACCTGCTGGATCACAGAGGTTTCTTTGGCTCAAATTGACTAATTTGAGGCCAATTACGCGCAGATAAAATGATACTGTTAAGAGAAAGGCTGTCGATCGACGGAGGAGGAGAAGCAGCAGCAGAAGGGGAAGCTGGAGGATGTCAGCTGATCAGGCTTGACTGGCATGTGACCGGAGAACATGGGGGTGCGTTCGGTTATTTTCACCCTTAACCTTGCTGAAACGATTATATTGCAGGGAAATGTTTGTTTATCTTTCGCTTGAGATTTCAGGTTGTATGGATAGGTACATTGCGTGATACTAGAAGGTACGGCGAATGAAAGGTTAAGAGCCTTTAGAAACAGGAGTATTGTAAATGAAAGCGTCCTAATATGTTGTTCATCTACCTGCAGTTTGCACAGTAGACACTAGATGTCATACTTGTGATGTGGTTGGTTAATTTCAGAAGTTTGTCAGATAACCTCCCTGTTGATTAAATCAAACCTTTAAACACTTGTCTTTAAACCTTTCAAGCCTAAAGGGATATTCCAGCGTAAGATTAAGTTAGAGTCAAACACACCTTAACACCAAGTTAGACACCCCCTCGGGAGATGAATGTTGCCGACCGCTTGCTTCTCTAGTTATACCAACTATAGTAATGACCGCACGATAGCAATACACACCAGTCTGAGGAGCCACACACAAACCTCAACCAAAACGCCACTCTATAGCCACAAATAATGCTCAGAACAGCACCTAACTTCATCAACAGGACATATAGGGTCCTAGCCACAGCACTAGCCACCAAACATCTTATTACCTTTGCCTATTTCTTTAGCAAAGAGACTAAACACAACTCACCTACTCTCTTCCAACAGCCGTTTGTTTGTTGCCAGACCTCAGGCGGATCCATTCCGGACTACAGCGGGGTGACGCAGCTGAAGGAAGAACATTTATGATCATTTCTTCATGGGAATGCAATCAGACTGAGACGCTAAGGCAAAAGAACTACTGTGTCTGCAGTGCAAAATGATTCATATGGTGATTATTACTTCAAGGAAATGATAAAGAAATGATGCTACAAACAAGCGGCAAATGTTCTTCCTTGAGCTGCGTCACCCCGCTGTAGTCCATAATGGACTGGCCAGAGGTCTCACTACAAACAAGCGGCTGCTGGAAGAGAGTAGGTGAGTTGTATTTAGTCTCTTTGCTAAAGAAACCAGGCAAAGTTAAAAAGATATTTTGTGGCTGGGACCCTATATGTACTGTTGATGAAATCAGGTGCTGTTCTGAGCATTATTTGTGGCTATAGAGTGGCATTTTGGTTGAGGTTTGTTTATGGCTTCTCAGACTGCTGTGTATTGCTATTGTGCGGTCATTGCTAAAGTTGGTATAACTAGAGAAGCAAGCGGTCGGCAACATTCATCTCTCGAGGGGTCGTCTACCTCGGTGTTATGGTGTGTTTGATTCTAAATTAATTCTACACCGGAATATCCCTTTAAGTCCTCTCAGCCTTAGAGCTGTACTTCAATCACAGCTTTTCATTCAGTAAATACAAAGCTTTCATCAGCCATTGTTTGCCACTGGAATAACTTGCATTTCATGTTTACACTGTGTTGCATCAACTTTTATTATGACAAGACTGTTAAAGTTCGAGGAGACCACTTTGTAGAGTGTTTCAAAGTGAAATGTCCTCATCTTTTCAGATAGCCTGCAGGATCCCAGCTGCTGAACAGTTCAAGGTTTCTCTCATTGTATTTGTTCATGATATGCCAAACGTTTTCACTATGCAACACTTCAGGGCTGCAGTTATTGCAGTTTGGCACATGGACTCTTAAACTACAGAGCTATGCTGTTGTGATGCATGTGCAGAGGGTGGTTTGAAATTGTCTTTCTGAAATATGCAACATCAAAACCATCATAAAAAGACCCTAGAAAAGTTCTGGTTATGAACATGTGTTGTTCCAAAACCTGATTTTACTGCATATCATTATGGATGCCTTTCCAGATGTGTAAGACCCATACTATCACCAGAAAAGGTTTTTTAAAAGAACACCAAAATCAGGACAATATCATAAGATACAAGTGACCCAGCTATTTTTACCTGAAGATCCACTGGGGGGCGACATTTTCATAACTGTTAAGCTTCCCTTAATTAACTGCAAAGGGATATTTTCAAGATGTTTTGTGCCATGTGTATCAGTTGTTAAACAACAGTAATCATCAATCAAATTCAGTTGCAACACCTAGGGTTATCTTTTGTGTGAGACTGACAGGATGCTGCTCTGTCCAGGAAATTGGATCTTTCCACTTCACTTAATTCAACGTATTCTTCCTTCCAACCTTTCCTCGCCCCCAAGGACAGTGTCTGAAGCCTCATTTTAAAAGTCTCTGCAGTATGTGACAGGTTTGTACTTCTGAGGCCACACAAGTCACTGAGCTGTAAATTGGCATTGTTCTCTATTCATTGATCAGATATAACTCTGCAAGAGCTGCAGCTCCAGTTGTCAGCATTATAACACGATCTTATGGTGCCATAGATTGAGCTCTTTTTAATCCAAGGACAAACACAAAGGAGTCTGAAACAACTACTGGAAAATCTGACTGTAATATTCAGGATGATACTGGCTTTTCTCTTCAGTATCTGTTTATTGATACACAAAAAGTAGGCGCTAAATGCTTAAGTGCGGTGTGTGAAGTAGCTCTTAATAGCATTGACTCAAAATAAAGACCGATTAAGGAGAATCTTCTTTCAAATTCAGTGAAAAATTAGATTTTTGATTCTGCACAGCTTTATGCAGATTAGATTCAAGACTGAAAAGCACTTAACTAGAATACACCCAACCTTGATGGTGGACAATCCAACATGCTCTGTTTACTCTTCAACCCTCTATTCACTCTCTGGTTCTGTGTTTCGGAAAGCCTGATTTTGCCTTGAAAGCTTAACTCTGTTGTTGCAAATGGAATAACTTTAAAATCAACAGTATTCTGAGTAATCCTCAAGCTCCTGAAATGTCACGTCGATGCAAAAAAAAAAAGTTTGATATGCAGCTTTGAGCAAAAAAGAACCTCTTCTATGCAAATTCACAGCTGTCCAAATCATAAATCGAGCCGAATCTGTATTATGTAACTCTTGATATATGTGGTAGCTGCAGCCCTGGACTGTGTAAAACATGCACTCAGTCCCGGTGTCGTCACACCCTAGTTTCTAATGTGGAGCTTTGAAGCCTGGCGACAGTGGCTACTGTTTTAAAATTGCTGACTCAGCCTAACTCTTACAAAGAATCACACTTGGTGATTTACGTTGTGTTGTTTGGACTATCACTGTGATTAACTCTCAGATAACGTCATTGAGAATATATAACAGGCAGTGATTTGGTTTTGACACTTTATCTCCTGTGAAAAACCTGCAGAAAGAAAAAAGGGAAAGCATTAGTGTTCATAAAAACACCGTCATATGTAAGCCAGAACAAGGTTTACAAAACAAATATATCAAAGACAAATAAGCGATCATTTTTTTCTTTATGAGTTTACCTCAGCAAGGACAGGAAGTCTGATAACAAAACAGCCTGAGTCGAACAGATTTGTTCTTTGAAATTCAGCAGATGCTTATGTAAGCAAACTTCGTCATTTTCTCTGCCTAATCCTGCCTATTATTGGGACTCAATGTACTTTTCTGCAGCAGTTAATTTGTTTGGTTGGAAGTGGATGGATGCAATATTTGCGCAGAGAAGCGTCTATAGCACACACTCACAATCACACACTCTCTGACATGGATGGCTGAAGCTTACGTATACATAACTGGTTCTGACAATATAACGGCCATATGCACAAAGAGCCCAATGAAGGATTTATACCTAATTTCATGAAGACAAATGGTTTAGTTTATCGAAAGAGGATTCAGTCATTGTTTTTTAGTGTGTTCATAATCTATAATGTTTAAGTTGAGCCAGAGTATGTTATATCGCTATGAATAAATCCACCTAAAGAGGCGAAAAGCACGAGTTTCTCAGGGGATAGCAGAGTGTCAGTGCGCATATAAACATGCTAAAAGGGGCATTAATAACAGAGCTTGTTGAATTTAAATGGTGAATTATGCATCCGTCTGTCTGCTTTATTAACCCCTGGCATTTGTGAGCATCCTAAGAAGGGACATTTGTTCTCAGAGTGTGTCTGTGTGTAATGGAAAAGACGAGGGAGACACATGTGAGAACACAACGTGCCTCTTCATAATCTGGGGAGGATTGCAGCGCTCGGTGGACTGTGATCCCAGTGTGTATGAATGAATTTCACATCGGCTACTACGTCTCTGCATTTCCTCATCTGAAAAAAAAAGTGATGGTAGAAGACGAAATCATAAGAAAAAAAGGTTCTTAAAATAACCTTTCTCTTGTCTGCATCCTTGTGTGAACAACTGTAATAAAATTATGTTAATATCATTACAGCTCCAAATCAAGTTATGACAAGTGATCATCTTTACCTGTATGTTATATAACTTCTCAGCAGTGACACGTACCTCACCCCATACATAACTTGTATTAATTATACAGTCAGTGTGTGTTGTTTCCATGGGGATGTTTATATTATTATGTAGACGTATGGTGGGGCATAAGGATGCAAACACCATGACTAATAATGAGGAAGTCCCGACTTGATTTGCAGAATGTTATGTGACTGTAAACACATGCACTGACCCAGCGGGTCTTTAGGCAGTTGGTATGGGGAAAGGTGGCCGTGAATGAGACCTTACTGTTAAAGGGGTGGTGCAGAGGAGCTGCATGCATTGACCTCTGTGCTGACAAGGTTAGTTATGAAACAGAGTTTATATTCTGCTTTTATGTAATGCCAAACAGGACATACATTTCATTGTTAGGTTATAAGATTGGTCACATCCAAAAAGCAGGGTTAAACATCACCTTTACCCTCATAACTCTCTGAGTGTGAAGCTTTTGTTTATTGCACACACAGGATTTCCTGTTTTTGTTCATAACATTTATGCTAGACTACAGATTAAAACTCTCTTCACTTCAGTTTCTGGGATAGAGTGAAGGAAGAATCTGAGGTATTTGCTGACACAATTGTTAAAAAATAAAGTTGGAAATAATAAAAAAAACACATATACCCTGAAGATCCTGTTGTCAAAATAAATTAGTGCTGATTTTTAAGAGCTTTCATGAAAACTGTGCTTTTTGTACAAGTCCCTGATGTTGATTCTTCTTCTTTATGAACCCTGGATATCTTCTCTTTATAGTGTTTCATCTTAGATTAGATTAGAGAGTCAAGAGAAAATATCTGTTGCATAATTCCTACAAACACCCCGCTGTTTAAAATCAATAAACCCGATCCAAACACATGATGACATAATCAAGCAGCAAGCCAGGATGTGGTAATAAACCAGAGCTTTAATGAATATCCTACAGCGTGTAATTTATAAGTCTTTTCCAACACTTTGAAAGTGTAATTAAGCGTGAGTTCCCTCCGGCTCTGATACTGTTTTTCAATATATCATTTACCTGAGCTCTGGTGTTTCAGAACAACAGGCTGAGCAAATCAAGCACCATCGATCTGTCTCAGCCTGGTAGAGACGCGGAGAGTTTCCTTTATTTCATTTCTTAAGAGTGAGTCATGTTCTGCGTCTTTTACTCGCACTGGCTTGTGCATCAAGTATGTGAGTGCACATATATAGCATTGATTAAACAGACTGATCAGACTAACTTGTCCTGCAAACACTCATTACCATACAGGTATGACATTCATGTGAGCAGGAATATCAAGTGCTGAAACCATAGGCTGTCTATAGAATGGACGCCGTCTGCCTCCTTGCTGGGTGAAGCCACTCTGAGAACAGCACCCTCTGCTGACAGGCTGCAGTATAGGTCATAAATCCCACCTCCTCCAGCAATCCCTATGA